TCGGGTCCTTTTTGTGTAACCAAATTCGCCTTCTCGGATACCTCGACTTGGCATTTGTTTTCTCCCGCTCTCAGCCGCAGCAGTCTTAGGGCAGGATAACCGTCTCGCAATTGTAACTCTCTGCCCCAAAGCCTCCGCAGCTTCATATCCTCCAACCCTACGCAGAGAACTGTGCTAGGGAATCCGTCTACTACGGCGTTGAGGTGAAAGTTCGATGACGAGAAATGCAACGGCTGAAGCATTTCTAGAAGATGGTTGGACCTGGCGTCAAAGCCCGTTGTAACCCCAGTTGATTGCAAATACGCCACTCGGCTCATCTCAACGGCTGGAGCCAGGTTGTCTCGCAAGAGCACCAACCTGGCTAGCTTCTCGCGGTGGAATGTTCAGCTGCTACTGGTTAGCCTGCCACAGAATTGCTGCGCCGAAGCCACCAATGTGGAAATATTTATGCCGCGGCCCTGTGAGACCTTATGGCTGACAGGATACGCCCTATCATTTATGGCTTCCAAGTTGTGTCGCAACAGCCTTGGTGGACGATGTTCAAGGGGGGCGGGGTTTCTTCTCTCTTCCATTTCCTCTCTTCCTCATCAGCTCCTCCTTCTCTCTTCCACCTAGATGTTTTCCATCAAGTAAAATGGCCATCGTGAGTCAGGGGAGCTTTTACGGACGGGCGTCCTACTGATGCATGTTGAAATAAGGATCCTGAAGTACCGTGCTCATCGCTAGATCGCAGCACAAGACAAGTTGGCAACTTTTTGTCCAGTAGGCTAAGGTCTGTTGCGCTACCCTTCGTAAATGGCAATGTTCACTCAACCAGTAGCGATGTTTCCATATCGACGCACTATCCTAGAACCTGAACCGACATTTTGCGAGTTGATGTAACGCCGTCTACTCGGCCAACTTCATTTTATGATAGACGCCTAGACGCTTCTACTCGTTGCCAAAGGACGTGAACCCAACGGTGTCGATGTCCACGACAGCTTCATGCTGCACTAGGAACGCCAGACCCAAGAAGTGGAACTGGTGCTTCAACTGCGCAGGTACTTTGCCTTTCTCGATAGCCAGCTTTCATGTTTCATCATAAAAATATAAGGTCGGCGTTTTATTCGAACCGGGTTAAAGACGCGACATCCTAATCAGGCTTATATCCGCTCACACCTTGACAACGCAGTTATTAACCTACGTCGCCGCTTGAACCTCCTCGTTCGCCCCGAAGAATAGGTGGTCAAGCCTATGTTGCACCAGGATACATCCTCTTCGCTTCATCATGTGGTAGTAGCATGCTTTCACGCGTGAAGTCAAGATGGCCCTTCTTCAGGTTGTTGTAGGAATCATCAGATGTCACAACCAATTGCCTGAGACTCTGTGTCGAATTCACTTGTAATGCTGTAGACGTCTATCTTCATTTTTTTCTACTGAGAGCGGCCTTTTTAGGAGTACGTCTCGGCAGCTCTGCGGTCGGGGTTGCTGAATTTGGACAAGGCGGATGGGAAAACCATTTGACTAGCAGCTAAGAGGAAATAGTTACGATGCTATGTGTTGTCTTCAAGGCATTGATGATACCTTGCGGGCTTTTCGTTTATGGTCTATTCACTCTCAAGATGGGTTGCTCGCTTTTGCCGCGCTGCTTCCTAGCAATATCTTTCTCTATCAAGATCTTCCCTTTTGGACCTGGGTCTCTTCATAACATACCCTTTCTCCACACAGCTTTAGAATTCCAAGACTGTTCTCTGTCATTACCTTCAGATCAAAGGGCTCTTCATGACCATTTTGAGCTACTTCTGCACCATGTTTAGAACAAGTAATCCCTATTATACTTGTATTTGGGAATACTTGCCACTGGGTAATGTGGGGTATGCCACGCGACAGTTTATTTCGAGTCCCCAGAACGATACTCAGTAGCTACCAAGGTGACACGGCAGAGAATCAGGTGCATCTTGTCTGCTGCTCAAGCTCTAGTCTCAAAGGCAATCAATTGAGCAGACTGTTCAACAAACGGGTCAGGATCAACGCGTGGCAGTGGTACAAGAGCGGTCAGCGCAAGATGATTCATCTGCATGCACTATTTCGCATGGGGCGTACAATATTAATTTCATGTACTGAATCGACATCATTGATCTACTACCAAAGTGCGCTTCCAATCAAGCGTTTTGAGACAGTCTTGAAACTAGGTAGTATTAGCAAAGACTTTCCATCCATACACAGTTGAAAATACATATGGATTTAGTATTTCTGAAATGAACTCTGCAAGGTTGTTCAGAGTAACTTGATGTCTTTCAACTTCATCTTTCCAAACGTCGCAAAGGAATGACCATAACAAGACGTACTGTATGATGGAAAAGGTCTGGATCGGTAGGCTGTCGACTTTTCTCTTTGGGCTAGTGAGCACGTGCATACTTTCCTCTTTGTCTCAGTATCATGCTCCATGTCTAGGTCTCAGTATAACGAAGGAAGACACAGCATTGATGTAAGCATATGTCAGATGCCAAGTAATATTAGCCCCATTCGGAAATCTAAGGTAATAGTACACACAGTCTTCGACGATCCAGAAGGCTTGGAGATCTCGTGGCATGTCAAGTCCCACGCATCCCGGGCAAAAAAGTGTCGCAGATTTGGAAATCGTGTACGATTGCAGTTACTATACCAGATAGTAACTCGATGTAGTCAGAAATCCCGCTGGCGTTGATCCTATTAGGACTATGTTGTAAGTTCACATTCTTGTGTATAAAGACAGAGGTATGATCCCGCTTGAGGGGTTATCACAATATCAAACTACTCTTCTCTCATATTCTCACGAAAACCTTCTCTCAAACATCCAGTTAGTAAGTTAGCGATCCAATACGAAATAAGTCCAGTTCGTTAAATGTTTGTTCTTTTTGTTGTTCTAGACCAACTATAGCCATCTCAACAACGACAACAATAACATCAACGAAAATGCAGCTCTCATCTATGCTCATCGTCGGCCTCGGACTTTCCTCCACTACGTCCGGCTATGTTCTCACCCTGTATAAAGGCGAGAATTGCGGAGGCGCCTCGCAGAGACGCAACATCTACGACAACACCTGCGCTACCACCGATTTTGCCCCCAAGTCCGTTCGGGTCGAGGTCTATGGGGGTTATAACCAGAAGGCGTACTTTTACTCCACCAAGGGATGTATCGCGGGCCAGGAGCTCCGTGGTCCGTGGTATGCTGATCATGAAAATAATTCGTGGAAGAGAGGGGCGTGTATTAGTATGGGTGGGAGGACTGTCAATGCCTTTGGGTCTCGAGTATGAGAGGGCAGTGAACTGGCATGGGCATAGACCCCCATTCAGGCGATTGTTATGCCTTAGATTCGAGAGTCAATACGACAACCTCTCGAGATGCTGAACCAGATAACTAGACTAAGCTTCGCAACTCACTCTGGGTGTTGGCTCTTGAGCGAATGAACAATAGAAATGCCGGTCGCCTCAATTTTCTGGTCATCAAACTTTTCCAAGCAATATGTGATGTTGGAACATTCCATCGGGCGAGGTGCCCGTTGTTACTAGGCATATTTCCGAATGTACTTTTGGCCTACTTGAGAATCCCAAAGATTGATACCTCGCCGTCAACGGGGTACTCCAAGCTTCATTACCGAATACTCAGAGGAATATCCTGTGACCTAATAGGGAGATATCTAGACATACCTTCCACCTGAATATACAGAAAACACATATAGCCCCTCCGAATTCCGTTCCTGTCACCAGCCAGCAGGCGTCTGTCTAGTTCGATAGGTCAGGTCAAACTGGCTGGGTGTTGGAGTAGTTCAAGGTTAACAATCAAATACGGCCACGTCCTACTCGACGACAGGCTACGAGTTCGATTCCTGGCATGAGCACCACGACATGTAGCCTACTGAGGTGAACTTTTTTTCCATTCTTTTACTTACTTCGGAAAAGGAGCTTACCCTCTGTGACTTTCGGACTACCGGCTTGCTCCCTCCCACTTTGGCCGCCCGCGACTCGGCACGCCGGATGTGGGGGGTTTCCGAACTTGACCCACAACGAGCACTTGATTCATGACTCTATTAGGATAAACTAGAGTCTGTGAGCTCTTCATGGAAAATAGGTCACAGGGACTCTTTGACAAGTCTACCTGTGCACTCGTTGCTGCATTCGGGCCTCTTTGTGCAGCATATGCGGGACAAGACGACATGAGTTGTCGTAATGCAAGAGTCCCCGATTGGGCACGGGGAGATAGGAAAAGAGGCAGGTAGGTGATCCACTGTGCCTTCTATTGAGGAAACTTCTAGTGCCTCAATGAACACATCATTGACCATTGCTGGAGACCAGGAACGGGGTGTTTTTTTTTCTTTCCTTTTTTGTCCTCCAGGGACGTATGTTTGGTCAAATTATGCCCACGCCTCGTCTTCTATACGGGAATGCGGCAATAAGGGAAGTCTCCCACCGGGAAGATGGGTCAAAAGCGAGTCAAGGCTATACAAGCATTCCTGATTCCGATCGTATGGCGGATTCGTCGTACTAAATACGATGGTAATCAAGCAAGCAACTGTCATGTCAAAACAGCGATTATTGAACGCTCGAGTTTCTGGGTCTTATCCAAACCTCTACCCGACAATCCGAAATCGTTGGGAACTTCCGACTACGTCGCATTTCACGGCCGTTGTTCCGGCTCGTAAAGTAATCCCCTTAAAAAAAGATTATCTGATTTTTGATCATTGTGGACAGGTCATATTCCCAGCCGCTTCCATGGTGATACATACCCAGCAGAATGCTTGATGATGAGGTGGATCCCACGGTACGCGTACCTCCCTGCGGCTGATGTCCGTCAAAGAACCAGCGAGTCAGCACTTAACAGACGTAAACCCGCTTGATGGCCCTCACTTCTTAAAACCTCTCGCTTACAACGTAAATGATGATCTACCTGGACGAGTCAGGCTCCTGATGTTCCCAGCAATGGTTCCCTCCGTAACACTGTCTCGAAGGCCGCTTAGCAATTGAGATTCATGTTGAGTAAAATGGGCGAAGAAAGAAAAAAGGAGAACAATAGGAGATTTATAAGTTGCAAGGAAGCCTTTAACCTGTCAACTACTTACACCATCATTCCCAGTCTCAGCACTTCGTTTCAATTTCTCGGAAAGTTCCGGCCCTTTACTTTTACACCAGCACAAAAGATGCAGTTCTTCACCATCATCGCTCTCCTGGTGCCTTTGGCCCTCGCAGAGACCTGGAACCTTTCCGGCACCTGCTCCAACGACCTCACGTGCGAGATCGACGACCAGTACACCAGCCCTACACTGGTCTGCGGTAACCAGAACGGACATTTCTCTGGCGACGGCAACGCAGGAAAGACGGGCTGCGTCCCTGCTGGCACCAAGTGCACTTACGTCTGGACTTGTTAAGCTTTTACATCTACTCGCGTCCAGGTATGTAGGCAGTGTGTTGACAATGGAATGAGTGTGGCTGATGGATTTGTTTTGGTAGAGAAAGGAGTGATGGAGCGAAAAAGGTCGCATACTGGGTAGTTTCCATAATTAAAAGTCAACTGTATGAAGTTAATTGAGTTTAAACGTAATGATCTACCGATCAACCGGCGCCGCTCATGGTCCGTGATGTGATCCACTATTCCCGTTTTCTTGACTGCCGTGTGTGTTCCCGGCGCGGGGTACACCCCACTATTCCCGAGGTAACAAACTCCGTGGAATATCCAACCCCCCAGCAACCACCCCAACGTCCACTTGACACATTCTAGAGTCACTTTCCAGACATCTCACTGCGACGTTACCTTTCAAGCAAGATGAGCTCCGATATTCCTACCCTGCAACGAGCAGTTCTTTTTGAGAACCCCGGCCCTGATGCACAGGTCGTTGTCCGGGAAGATGTCCCAGTCGGAACCCCCGGGCCGTTTGAAGTTCTCGTCCAACTTGACTTCACTGGATTATGGTAAGTTGACAGATGGCTACCTTCATCACTGGTCCGAACATAACTAACACCATGGCCATCTTTGCAGCGGGTCAGAAGTCCGAGCGCTCCGTGGTTGGGGTGCTTACGATCCCATCGTGGGCCATGAAGGTGTCGGCAGAGTCGTGAAATTGGGAGACAACGTCTCAGAGTCACTCCTGAAGAAGAAGGTTGGAGTCAAGTGGCTCTATAGCGCCTGCGGAGAATGTTCCGTATGCGCGCGCGGATTCCCCAATAACTGCTCCAAGCAGCTGAATACCGGCAAGCACCGTCCTGGGACTCTTCAGCGATACGTCGTCGCGGACTCGAGATACTTGACCTTGATACCGGAGGGCTTGAACGACGAGGAGGCAGGACCATTGCTTTGTGCGGGCCTCACGATGATGGGCGCGCTTTCGATGCTGGACAGTGACTTATCTCGAGGCGACTGGGTGGTAATCCAAGGCGCCGGAGGAGGGCTCGGTCATCTTGGAGTGCAAATCGCATCTAAGCTAAAAGGCTTCCGTGTCATCGCGGTAGACATGGGAGATGAGAAACGGATGTACCTGGAGAGTAGAGCGGATGCATTCATTGACTACGCAACTGAGGACGTGGAAAAGTCGATCATGAATTTGACCGGGGAGGGTGCCCATGCTGTCATCGTTGTTCCCGGTTCAGAGGACGCCTATCGAATTGCGCCAAAGCTTTTGAGGTCGATGGGGACGATCGTTTGCGTTGGACTACCCCGAAATGATTTTGAGTTGCCCATCTCAGTTGCTCAGTGTGCCCTGAAAGGTATGTTCTCTAGCTCCTGGCCGCAAGCTCCAAGTGAAGATGAAGGCTGACACGTTCGCACTAGCTCTGACAATCAAGGGGGCCATGGTCGGGACGGAAGAGCAAATGACGGAACTGCTTCAGGCGGCTGAGAAGGGCACGATCAGGGCTTCTATAGACCTCTTCTCCTTCTCGCATGTTCCCGAGATCATGAACCAGCTAGAGAAAGGAGAGGTTTCTGGACGGGCCGTAGTCAGTTGTCTTTGAAGACCATAGGACACCCTTAGTTCCCTCAGATTATACGGAACGACCTCAGAATGTTTGAGGAGAATAGTCTTGCAGAACATGGTCTTGGAATATGTCTTCTAGATTCTTTACGTAGGAGTTACGACGTCCAAAATGAGGATAGTACTAACGAGCTCCGATTTTGAGAAAAAACAGAATGGTCTCGGCGCATCACTCAATTGTGCACTCCGGGAAACGATGCTCACGGCCATTGGTCGTTTCGTCTGCTGTTGGTTGTACAACGCTCGCCTTCCACATGAGGAAATGGTCCCGCAGAAACCGCTCCAACCGAGCTTGCTTGCTGCAGAGCTGCATGGTTATCACGCGCCAAGAGAGGGGTAAAGAATGGCTGGCAATCCTTGGGGAAACCACATATAATAAGAGGGTGAAAAGAGAGAACCTTGGCTGTCTTTACTGTATCCACATCGTCATGTCTCAAGCTCAAGAGGTTGCGAGGGCGGCACCGTCTCCGCCCAAATCTTCTCCAAAATCTTCCCCTAACTCGCCTCCAAACAATGCCGATGATGCTACCGGCACTATTCTTCCCGATGAGGTCGGAACATTTGGAAAGCGCCTTTCCTGATCATATCGCTAACATCCATAGATCGACGATGACGGCGAGTCGTTGGTCGGACCCGTCAGTGTAGTCTCAACTGGTACATCTCTTGTGAGCCGAAGGACTAATATTGAGCAATTAGAGCGTGGCTTCCTCAAGTACGAGTGTGAACAGTTCAATTTTGGACTATCGGAATGAGAATGGTCGGACATATCACAAGTACAAAGACGGCAGTGAGTATCGAGCCGTGTGGAACCGTCTGACTTTGATACAAGACTCACTCCTTCACGTAGAATATGCTATGCCCAATGATGAGCAGGAGCTCGATCGACTCGGTATGAGCTGATGACCAATTCGATTCACCGAATCTCGAGGACTTCCGTTAGACTAACTGTAGCCTGCGCATACAGACTTGACGCACAACATGTTTCTCCTCACCTTTGAGAATAAGCTTGGGACTGCGCCACCTAACACCGATGCTCAAGCCTCGGCTGTGCACCGGGTTCTTGACATTGGTACGGGAACTGGTATCTGGGCAATTGACTTTGGCGATGAGCACCCCGAAGCTGAGGTAAATCGAACGTTCTTTCTTTACATCAGTCAAATATGCTGAAGTACCTAAGGTCCTTGGCGTCGACTTATCTGCAGCATGGCCAAGTTAGTAAGTTACTCTACCTTACCACCTTATCATGGGTCTCGAACTGCTGTGATGTGGCGACTAATAACCTGCAGCACCCCTCCCAACGTTCGCTTCGAAATTGACGACATTGAAGATACTTGGACCTACTCCCGGCCCTTCGACTACATACACAGTAGAGTCATGACATCTTCGATCAAGAATTGGGAGGACTATACACGAACCTGCTTCGAGTAAGTTGGTTGATTCTTTATCTTCTGAAGCTTTGATTGACGTTGGTAGTAATCTCAACCCTGGGGGATACCTCGAACTCAACGAGATTGATGCTTGCCCGCAGTCCGACGATGGTACCTTGAAGGAAGACTCCGCCATTCTCAAGTCCGTCCGCATGCTCGAGGAGGCCGCCAACCTCTTCGGTCGCCCGTACCACAACGCGCAGGCGCTCAAGCAGATCCTGACAAACATTGGCTTCGAAGACGTGACTATTCAAAAATATAAGTGGCCGACGAATCCCTGGGCTAAAGACGCCCGACACAAAGAGCTCGGCGCATGGTGCCACGAGAACCTGGTTGCTGGCTGGGAGGGCTTCTGCATGGCACCCTTTACTAGAGCCCTGAATTGGTCCAGAGAGGAGGTCTTGATACTCATGATGCAGGTGCGCAAGGAGTTTAGTGATAGAAGCATTCATGCGTACTTCCCGGTGTAAGTTCCAGTCCACTTCTATAGGTACCCCCCAGACCTTCGACTAATGACAGCAGCCATTCCATCTACGCTAGGAAGCCTGCGGGGCCAGCCTCAGCATGAGACATGAGCATAATTGAATGGAAGAGCTGGACAACAAGACTTCTATTCTAGCAACGCGCGTTCCTTATCTACGAGGATCAGGTCACTGATCCGGCATTATCCATTGAGGCGAGCTTTCTATAGCATCCAATGACGGCCATCTCATGCCCCCCAACATGATGTCTCCAAACAAATAGTGTCTTTCGAATCCCTTCGTCCCTTCTGGAGGTATATTCGGAGCTTATGCTGAGAGGGCGGGCAGTGATCGGAAGGGAGATCCGGTGCGCCCATTATTCTCGACAAGAGAAGTTCCTTACGCAAACGCAAGTTTAGCACGCAAATCAAGAGTCTAGAAGGAGATACGTCAAGACCAGCAGATTGCTCGACCGTAACACCCTCTATCGAGACCGACGACTACGGAGAGGAAGACGAGGATGAGGATCAAGATGAGGACGATGTCAACGAGGACGATGATGACGAGGATAATGACGACGCCGCGGATGATGATGACCAGAAAGTCACTCAAGCACCACCTCGCAGTGGAACGACCAGTGCGAGCCGTTCAGCCGGCTGTCGTGGTACAATATTGACTTTAGCGCTGTTAAACTTGTAGAACAGAGCACGCCCGCCCTTTATCTATAGTCATATCGATGCATCGCGCACCAAGTAAGCAAGTTGACCAAGCGGCCGAGAAAAACCTTCAAAACAAGATAAAGGTCGGTATCTGGCCGTTAGTAGATAAGCTCACAATGTATTTGATCTCAACGCCCCAAATTTCTTACATACTCAAGTGCGTTTCTCGCGGAAGCTAAAGTGTTAAAACTCCTCAAAGGACTTCCATGTAATGTCAAAGATCCGTCATCAGAGCTTCATCTCCAACAAGGATTTCAATGGAGACGGCGGTCATGTCACAAGGTCTCAACAGCATATTAAGGCCTCCTGCTATCTATGCAGTATCTCACTACACCATTGTCGACATCGCAAACTCAGTGTTGACTACTTTTCTCAATTACGATCACGCACGAATTCAACCACAAGTCCACGATTACGCTACATCAACCCCTTCAGGCTCAGCCAGACACCAACCCCGGTATCTATATCTATCAAACTTACTTCCGTTCTAGCCTAAGTCTAGCCTCCCGGCCCGGATCTCGCTTCACGTTGTGCAGTGTACTGCGTAAGTGGGAACCCTCCGTCCCCGAGCACCGTCCACCATCGTCGGCGACTCCGGCACTCCAGGGATGACCGTCGTGGGCAGTCGCGTCGCATACCTCTCATCAAAGCAGAGCCTCAATCCATTCATCCATACCTTCACCTCCCCCGCCCCTCTGTCCTCCTTACGTAACCCATTTATCCCGGGTGCGACTTATGTTTTTACGTACAAATTTCGTCACCGGGGAAAAGAGCTCTTTACATGGGATGCAAGTCACGTTCACTCTTTTCCAACACCAGCCTCAAGAGCCACTCTATCCGTAGTCTTGGAGCGAGGTACTGAAGTCGGGTATCATCGGCTTCAAGTACCCTACCTCTAACATGACACTAGCGCATCAACGACCGTCACGGGATATTACCATAACAACAAAGATGTCAAATTTCTTGGAATATTCAGAACCATAGGAAGAAAAGGCAAAAAAGCTATCATAATATGTGCCATCATGATGGTAAACAAATGGGTTGAAAACAGAAACCCCCATAACCATGCAAGTAACCCCATTGTAATCCGCAGACCTCTGTAAACGCCATGTCGAACACAAGATGCTCCCCAAAAGGGAAACGCAAAAGAACCGTAGTGATACAGTCCGCACTTCCTCTCAATGCAGCGTCACCCTTACACCATCACCTCAAATGCGTCCAGTCCACACCCGGGAGCATGCAAATCCCCAACGCGCATCCCCTTCACAACGGAGCGAAGAGCACAACCCCATCACCATGCATTCAACACACCAAGCAACCCAGACCACTCACTTACGCCTCATCATCCCTCTTCCCCTCCCTCTTAGTCGCATACATGTGAAACTGCCCAAAAATCACAAAATCCTCCACCATCGTGCCCAACGACCCCAACAACCACGGCAGCGCGTTGAGCAAATACGCCCGATCCTGCTTAAATGCAACAAGACTTGCGCCGTACGTCAGGTTCCCCGTAAGCGACAACAAGAAAAACAGCAGCGCGAGCCCCTCGCAAGACTTTTCCCTGTAATTCTTGATAATCTGCGGGATGCGCGCGCAGAGGTAGCACACGGCGCTAAAGTAGCCCAGCGCAAGACCAATCTTCTCCCAGGTGCCGTCCGCCGCGGCGGGGGAACCCGCGCCCGCACCGGTGTCGTTGTCGGGGGCGTCCCACGCGCCGGCCTTGTAGGAGAGGAACCAGCCCGCCGCGCCGACGAGGTATACCGCGAGGATGCTCAGGGTGTTGTGGAGCCAGGGGTTGCTGTCGGGTGTCTCGTCCTCGCCGGTGACCATCTTGCGCAGGGGGTCGAGCGAACTCTCCTCGTGGTGGGCGTGACGGCGCTGCGAGCCGGGGAGACCGGCCGCCGCGGACGAGCTACGGCGGCGCTGTGCTGAGTTTGAGAGGAGGGGTTCATCTTCCCGTGCTTCGGTCGGGTTCGCGCCGGTGGCGGTGACGGGCGCGGAGGAGCGGCGGCGGGAGGATGCGCGGCGGGCGTTCTTGGTGTTGTAGTAGACGCATTGGGAGATTAGGACGAGGTCGGCGAAGCAGAAGTAGCTTGCGAGGGCGACGGCCGTCGGAGCGAGGTGGGTGAAGAGAGCGCCTGGAGGGGTGGTTGTTAGTGGGAGCACGCGCCAAAAGTTTAATTTTTTTTTTCATGGCGTTAGGAGTGTTGGCGTTGGTGGTTGGAGAAATTTTCGGTATGGCAAGAGACGCATATTTTTTCTTGGAGAAGGGTAGCGGTGTGGGAGAAACTCGCGAGGCGCAGATACCATGGAATATTGGCAAAAAAGCACCAGGAAAAAAGAGTGAGGAGCTGGGAAGGTAATGTTTTCTGCGTACCCATGAGATTCGTCACGTCGCCGATCAACCAGATGATCAAGAAGCCCATGGACAAGCCATCAGCGCTTTGCGACTTGTAGTTTGTGAGAAGCTGGGGAAGCTATTTTGTGTAGATAAGGATGGTCAGTCTACTTGGACAGAAAAAGCAGGCAAAAAAAGTCGTGATCCGAGGTCGCGTGACCTTCGCGAACAGAGAGAGGGACGTACGAGAAGACATATCCACGCGGTCAAGCTAATGCTGCCAAAGATTCCCGACAGGGCCTCTTCGACTTTCGGCGTGGACGATAAGGCGGCAAAGGCCGTAACCGCGACGGAAGCCATTGTGTGTGAATTTTCGATATGCGACCTTGGTGAAGCTCACGATAACAAACGTGGAAGAAAGGTGAAAAGAACGGGTAAGAAGAGCCGCAGCGACAGATAGGTTTTGGGGGAAGCTCTTCTCTCTTGTGCCGTTCCTCGGTCAGGTGGGCTTAGGAATGGGGTCAAGTGGGATGGTTTTCTTCGATGGAGAGTCACGCAGACAAGACATTGTTGGTGCGGCACGGGTAGAGGGGACTGATAGCGCCCACATTTCGTCCAATCCGATTTCAGCATTCTGCTTTTCCCCCGTTATCGCATTCCTTATCGCTTACCGCAACCGATAAGAGACCCCTGCCGCCGCATGACATAACCAAAAGACCAAGAACGGCCTTGGCGTCGTGGAGTGCGGGCTGACGAAGAGGGCAATTAGTGGGGGCGGGTTGAGCATCCAGCAAGGGTCCCTCCAGGAAAACTTGGAAAGAATTTGGCGGGCAGAGCGGGTTGACCGCCGCAAAGGTCCTATTTTCGGAGGGGCCCAATGACGGAGAAAATGGTCGAGCTGAGAGAGTTGCGCCAATGAAGAGTCCTGATTTGGTCATCTCAACCTGCTGAAGCTGTCACTGTCGCTGACAACCTGGGCTTATGTAATTCTTCCAAGACGCTTCTGCGCATTTGCATCTGCACCAATATCGAGATGAACCGTTCGCATGGCCCAGATAACATGCCCGAATGCATGCAGCGCGAGGCGTCACCCAAAGTCTAACCATCTGCCTCCAATCACAGGAGCAGAGGCACACCGAACGATCAGATAGGCTGAAATTCCGCATTCCAGCAGTCACCGGACATCCGCCGATCGTCAGCATTCCCCTCCCAAGTGGTGTTTCACGTGGTTCCCCCCGTGCACCGCCATGATTCGCCCTCCGTGGCTGAGGCGGCACCGGGTGTGGATGGTCACGGACGAGCACCCCGGCGCAGGCGTTCCTCGGCCAACTCACCTCTGCCGGGCGCCTACACCAGCGGCCCGCTCAGCGTCAGTCATCCGTGTTGACATTAACCTGGAAGGTAACGTGAGCTGGCGTGCATCGTTCCCGTCCCCAAGACCGGCGACCCGACCACGCGTCAAGCTCCCATATAACCGCGCGTCCGTCCTGTTTCCTGTCTAGCTTGTCGTCATTCAGTCAAATTGACGGACCCGAATTATAGTCCTAAAACAGTGAAGCCTAATCGCACCTCAGTGCATACCAACTCACCAATAAGAATCGCAAACCATCATGAGGCTTTCGGGCACTGTCGCACTGCTCGGTGCATCGCTGCACGGGGTTGCTGCATGGGGAAGTATGTCATAAATTCCCTGCATCCACGATAGCTTCAAAATGGCCCTGAGCTGCAAAGTGTCTCAAGTTGCCTCGCTGACCGACTTGACTTACCAGGTCTGGGTCACATTGCGACTGCTTATCTAGCCAGCCACTTTGTCGCCAACACAACCGAAGTCTTCTTCCAGGATTTGCTGCGTAATGATTCCGAGCACTACCTTGCCGGCGTCGCCACTTGGGCCGATACGATCCGGTACACGCGCTGGGGACACTTCACCGGGCCCTTCCACTTTATCGACGCCAAAGATAGTCCGCCCGACTATTGCGGCGTCGACCTCGAGCGGGATTGCAAAGACCAAGGCTGCGTCGTGACGGCACTCGCAAACTACACCGCCCGGTCTCTGGATCCCAAGCTGAGCGGGTGGGAACGCAACCAGGCGGCGAGGTTCGTCGTGCACTTCATCGGCGACATGCACCAGCCTCTCCACAACGAAGATGTGGCCCGGGGAGGCAACGGCATCCACGTCAAGTGGCAGGGTTCCGATTACAACCTCCACCACGTCTGGGACAGCTCCATTGCCGAAAAGCTGATAGGAGGCTCTCGTCGTAGGCCCTACGACAACGCGAAGAAATGGGCGGATGAGCTTGCTGACGAGGTCAAGACTGGAAAGTTTGCTGCACAAAAGGCGGAGTGGCTGAAGAGTATGGACTTCAACAACGTCAACGCTACCGGCCTAGAGTGGGCGAGAGAGGGAAACGCTTTCGTTTGCACCCATGGTATGTTGAATCCCGAGCCATCGGCGACCCCCCACAAACCGGAAGGGCGACGTCAAAACTGACTCTTGTATTAGTATTCCCAGAGGGGCCGCGAGCTATTGTCGGCCAAGAACTTAGCGGCGAGTACTTCCAAAAGGCGGCACCTGTGATTGAGCTTCAGGTCGCCCGCGCGGGTGTGAGAATGGCTGCTTGGCTGGACCTCATCGCCGCGGCATACCAAGACCTGGCGAAGACGGCCGAACCTGTCATGGAAGACTTGTAAGATTATGAGATGAGACGCCAAGCATGTTGCGCTGTTTGCTCCGCGCGCGACTTTCTGTACAAGACCCTCGTTTATCACACAGCAAAATGTGTTTTGATGCAGTGAAAGCTTGGCCCTGCCGGGGTCCTCTGTGTGTATTTGATTTCGTGACTTAGAGCCTAGTCGCAAACATCTCTGGATGCCAAGCTAGTGTAATGACATGATCAATGACGAGACGAGGCTCACCTTGGGCTCATCTGCCGTAGTAGTGCTAAAGATCGTGACAGCTGCCATGCGGCAGCTCACAGACTTGTCAAGTTGCCTTGGGTAGGAGACTCGGAATAATGTTGATCACACTGGTCGCGACACATTCTTGGCCGGGCCTTCGTCAGCAAAGAGTGTGCCTGCAATGGCTGAGGCGGCCCAGTTTGATTCACATGGAAGAGCTGTTTCCCAGAGGCGTAGTCGGCAAACATTACCTGGCAACGAGAAAGTGGCGTGACTTGAACGCATTTCCCTTCTCGCGGTGGAGAATTTGGAATCAGGCTAAGAACGGGTTGGAGGTCTAGCCGTGACGGCAAAGGACAGCAATTGGGATGATAGGTGACGTCTGACAAGTGAAGTTCGATGACAGCCCTTGCCGGGGGTCCGAGAGCAGCCCGGCGAGCAATACATCCAAGGAGATTGGATGCCGGAGGAAGCGCATCCTGTGTGCATGTCAGTGGACACAACGGGATTGGCACGGGTTCTGCATCTCAAGTTTGCGATGACGGTTCAACCGAGCTGGGTGACTGGGGCCGTGGGCGAGCGTGGTTACCGTAGTGCAGGCAATGAGCGACGATAGATAGCGCAAGGCGTTTGCCTCTGTGACAGTCGACGGGTTTCAACTCGTCTTCCCGAGCTGGGATGAAAGGCAGGTCTGCATGCCGGATCCGAGGAGGATGCCTGCGAGTTGAAGATGAAGACGAGGTTGCGCCGTTGGCTCAAGGGACAAATGGACGGAAGTCGAGGTGAACCTGTTTCACCATTGGACTTTTGGCACAGGCTTCAAACTCAGCCTCGTGTCGCAGGATGGTGCGCCTCCTTGGCGCGAGTGGAGGTTCGCGACAGGGGCGCTGCACACACTAACACTCTCACTCCACGAGTCCACCGCAAGCAACCCCGGTGGCTCGGATCCAGATGAGGGAAGATTGATGACAAGCCCTTTAATTGATGTTGGAATTGGATGGCATCTCAGGGGGGGAAACAATCTGCTCGTTTACGGGATCTCGGAAGGGATGAGACGAATATGGGGGAGGCGTCGGCCGTGGTGCCGGTCATTCGGGTGCGTCTATGGAAATTCGAGGTTTCGCCAGGTGATCTTTTGCGATGCAGCTTCAAGCATCAAGCCGTAGAGCCGTGCCGTTCGTTGCCAGGCGCAGGCGAGGCCGCGAAGGCATCGTCATGTGGTGCCGTGGGCCGTGGGTGCCGCATTCGAGTGTCAATCGGCGAGAAGACAGTCCGTACCCATCAAAAGATCCGGCACAGTCATCCACACGATGTGGTATCAGTAGGATCCGTAAGTAAAAGTAGAAGTTTGGATGGCGGGATCAAGACCGAGCATATGTTTCCAACGGTGACAATGGCGGATCTGTCAGTGCAGTGAGCAAAATGTTGTAGGGCAACTTTAGGTGTGGACGATCAATAGCATTAAACTCAGCGTCGTTTGCAAAATGTCCGACAATTGGCAGCCCAGAAAGGAAAGTTCTCGACTCAAGCACTTGGGTTGACAGCAGAAAATAGCAGACGAGATGAAAATCGAAACCGTCATCTCATGGATAAGCATCTCGCGCACTAGGGTTGGCCATGAGGAAGATCAGATTAACCTTTTGCTCGGATGGCTGATGCAGGACTGGCCGGTTATCCAACGAGCGAGGTGGCAAGGGGGGAAGGGGTGAACTCGGTGCAAGGTGGTGGTGGGAGGTTGGTTGGTGTCGTCGTTGACGGTTGGGGTGGCAGATATCCAAGGATTCGGTGGACAATGACATGGAAGAGAAGAAGAGGGAGGGGGGAAAGACTCGAGGGTCGAGGTGAAGCAACACCTTTGACAAGGGACACCCCTTCCCCCTGCAATTCTTCCAGGGCTGCGGTGGTGGGGCGGGTTTCTGGCGGGCGGGATGCTAAGGACAACCTTAAACGTGGTAAGAGGGGATGAGATAATCAACCTTTCCCGTTTTGGAGACCCAAGTGGAGTCGTGGATCTCCACGGGTCTTGGGCCGCTACAGGTACCGAGTGTAAACGGCGCTTGGCACTCCTGCTGGGACGTGGAAGGTGCCCTCCTCTCACTTCACCACGCTTCCCTTTCAGTTGCAATTGGAAGTGTCCGGAACGATACATGTAGATAAGTCAAGTTACGTACCTAGGTAGGTACGTGCCTCCGTTTTGATCTTGGAATGGAAGGTGAGGCACCAGTGGAAAGGAGATGGCGCACCTTCCAATCCCATAGTTCGGTAGGTAGGTAGGTAGGTAGGTAGTAGTGTCTTTCTCGATTCCTTTGCGCACATTCCATTTTCTTGCATTACCCCATCCATCAAGTACGAATATTGCTCGACAGCTCCTTCGGCAACTTCATGGGTTTCCTTGGCACTTAACGTTTGACGGGAGGAAGATCATCCCCGAAGCTCCAACCGCAGTAAGGTACGGTGGACCACACCGACAAGTTCAAGTTTTTTTCTTTTTCCCCTTTCCCTCGCCCACTCACCCTGGAAACCCCTTTGCTGCTCGCCCTCTTTTCTCAAACCGACAATCGACGGTACCGTGACCGGTCATCCCAGGGGGCCTTGCCGTCATCCGAACTTGCCGAATAACAGATTAAGTTTATTGGATGTTTGATGCCATCATTACTGCGCGCCCGCTGCTGACCTTGGTTTTCCGCTCGCTTCGCCAACTCCACATTCCGACCAGCAACGCCAACGTACATATCCTAGGTACTCCGTATGTGAGGTGCTTCTCGTTTGCTTCCACATTCTGCAAAACGGCAGAAAAGTCAACTAGGTTTTTTGGATGGACTCCGCCGCCCTTCCGACGAAAAGCCTCCGTGCACTTCTGGCCAAGTACATACATGATACGAGGCATTCGCTCGCGATGCAGACGAGGCACACGATACACTATCCCACCCTTATCTGCGGGACGGAATCCATAAGGGCAAGCTTTGAAGTGGAACGAAATGCAGTGGAGTTGATGCGTTGCATTTCGCTCACCGGAATTAGACGGGCGCTTCCATTCTCATGCGCAATTGCAGACACGAACTGATCGATGGGTAGAACCGCCAGAACCGATGGTCGACTGACAATATTAATGTTCTGTTGTAGCTGGCCAGCGGTCGCACTAGCACGGCATGTCTCACCCGTCTAAACGGTCCGTTGCCAATCATCCACATTGCCGCTTTCTCCCGGCCAAGCTTGAGACCGTTGTCGTGTCGCTGGTACCCGCAGAAGCACCGTGGAAAAGAAACACAGCACGGCTCGGGGGATCTTCAAGCGGTAACGTCAATCAAGAGAACCCCATCACGAACATGATGATGTGTGTGCGCTGTCAGCAAACAGCACCAGCTTTGCCTCTGCGTGGCCAGTCTTGGCGTTAATACAGGCGTGCCAGGCCTCTCAGGAAAGCCAGCGTCCGGAGGCAAATCATGGCCGATCCTCAAAGGCTTAGCATGAGGAGCTAAACCCATGACGACTCATGGCTCAAGAGCCAAAATCAATTGCATACGCATCCGCAGTTCGGTGTGCCATTTGTCTCGACAGGGTGCGGCTCTCACATATCGGTCCACTACGTGCCTAAGTATCAACGGTCCGTGAGAAATACGGATGGATAGATGCTTGTCCTGACGGACGTTGGCCTAACGGTTACAAACCTGCCAGCTGATGAGTGCAACTTGACGTGCGACAGTGCAGGCATCGAGGAGCGAACTGCCAGTTTTGCCAGTGCTCCAGGGAAATTAGGACGGAGGAGGCTTCGCTCAGATAGCCAGCAATCGAGCATTTGCGGGTGGTTGTGGAGAGAAGGCGCCTCACAAACTCACCTTCGTGCGGTCGGTATCTTGGACGGTGACAATACGTTGGTCGAGTACGGCGACGAGGCACTCCGTAAAGTGCCGCGCTTAAGAGACGGCAAGGACACGAAAATGTCGTCCAGTGTCTCGTTTCGCTTCATCGACGCCTCGGGCGAAACGCCATTTGCCTGATGTGCCGGACAGCAGGCCCCGCCATTGGCTCGCTAAGCCGCGCCGGGGCCATGTGGGGACTCCATGACCCCATTCTGCGACGACAGGAGCCGCATCAGACCTTCCCAGACCTCGCGACGGCACAAGCCACCACCGGACGAGGGGGGTTCCTTCCAACTACCTTATCCTTACCCTTGCCATACCTTACCCTTACCTTACTGCGTAGCGTAGCCTCTTACTGTCGTCCACATCTGGTGCCAACAACCTTTTTTCTTTGCCTCGCATCTTGAACCCCTACCAATACTTGTGTGGTAGAGTGGTAGATACCTGCCACAGGGACTAGAGACACCACACTGACGTTACCCGAGCCGCCCTGTTCGACTCAACTTCGTTACCTGCCATCCTGAAGAAGTCGGGAACTGTCCGTCAAGGGTGCCCACCCTCTCCCAGTCTGGGACAACGACATCCCCTGCTCATCTGTAGCTTGTCTCTCTTTTTTCTATCCGTCTACTCCGTACACTACGTAGTAGTCCGTTCCTTACACTACGGAGACTCTTCGTACACTACGCCTCTGACCAACATCTTTGTCGCCGTTCCCGTCCCATCCATGCAGCTAAACTCAACCACCCCTGCCAAAGCTCAGATCTCTATTCTCCCGTCTCTTCACTCAACCCCCCGATCCATCATCCCTACTTTCTCGGAGCCTGGAGGCGTCTGCCCTTGTCAACTAGTTGTCGCATACCATCTCATCAGACAGATGCTACCTACCCAGTCTCTTTGTCGCTCTCTCTCTCTCTCTCTCTCTCTCCTCCCTCGACGGACACCTTCTCATAGAAAGCCGACAGACCCTCATCACCTTTTCCCACCCCCTGGTTCGTCACCCACTGCGGGCCTGCCAATTGCCCGCACGGGGATCAGATGCTAAGCAGCATCCATGTACTCACACCCCCGGCCAACAGTTTGAGCCGTGTGCTATCCGTAAGGTATACTCAGTAGCATGGTGTATGGCTAGGTACTAGGTAGTCTGCAGACGGGCTCCTGTCAGCCCTTGTCTCCTCCTCCTTCTCCTCCTCTCCCATCTCCCCTGCGCCGCGTTTTGGACTCGTGGAGACGATTCCTCCCCCCCAAGCCGTCATGGAGCCTGTCTCCGTTCATACGACCCCTTGGTCGAACCGGCACCAGCCTGCAACCACAGCCCTGTGCATATAAGACTTGAAAGCTTGGCACTGATCGCATATTTGTCTCGGCCTCTCCCTTCTTAATCCCCAGCAGCGCTCAGTCTCGATCATTCTTTTCGCCTTCCACCCTTTACTTTTATTTCCATTCATCCTGTTGCCTCACGCTGGGAGTGTGTCTTCACATTCATTCATTCATTTCTTTTCAGCTTGTGCTACGTATTCAGGTGTCTGTGACCGTTCCTTTCGTACTCTACTCTTGTTCGCTCCTCGGTCTGGAACCAACCCCTTTCGAACGACAATCTAGTATTTTATTGATAGCGACTCGGTCGACAACTCCCTCGGATTTATCCCCAACGATCAACAAGAAAGAGACAAGATGCAAATTCAAAAGCTCATCACTGCCCTCGCGGGCATGGCCGTCGTCGCCGAGGCCTCCGTCGCCTTCCTCGATGCCTCGCCTTTGAGCGCCGCCCTCGCCAAGCGTCAACAACGTGGTGGTAACCGTGGTGGACAAGGCGGAAACCAAGGTGGAAACGCAAACCAGGGTGGAAATGCCAACGCTGGTAACGGAGCTCTGTGTTTGCAAACGAACGCGGTGCAAAAGGGTTCGCAGCAGGCCGGACAGCCCAACGCCCAACAGGCCAACTCGAAGACGTGAGTATTGACACATACACGGCACAGGCAACCCCCGAAACGCGCTAACCTACTGCCTTGCAGCGACAATGCCAACTTCATCAACATTTGCTCCGGTTCTACCCTCACCGATGGTGAGCAGAAGACTGGCGGTTCCTGCAACGGTATCCCCATGGGCAAGATCCCCGCCCAGACCAAGATGGTGTCTACCGTCATCAACAATCCCCCTCACAACGGCAACATCCAGGCCAACCAGGACTTTGATGTCGAGCTCAAGGTTAACAACCTGCAAGCCGGTTCCTTCACTGACGCTCAGTCTACCTACTACTCGGCTCCCCAGGATCTTAGCGGCGGCGGTACCATTATCGGCCACGTTCACGTCACTGTTCAGGATATGGGTAACTCCTTGACGCCCAACACTCCCCTGGATGCTTCCAAGTTTGTCTTCTTCAAGGGCATCAACGATGCCGGCGATGGCAATGGTAACCTGAAGGCCACCGTCACTGGAGGTCTCCCCGCCGGAAACTACCGCGTCTGCACCATGTCTAGTGCCTCCAACCATCAGCCCGTTCTGATGCCCGTCGCTCAGCGTGGTGCCCAGGATGACTGCAACAAGTTCACCGTTGGTGGAAACGGCGGCGGCGGCGGCAACAACAACAACGGAGGTGGCAACAACGGCGGCAACGCTGCCAACGGCGGCAACGCTGCCAACGGAGGCCAGCAGAGTAAGTCGACCAGTGATACTTCAATGTTTCGTTGATGTACTAACGGATACAAGACAACAACCAGGGCGGAGCTGCCCGTGGAGGTAAGCAAGCCGGAGGCAGACAAGGCGCCGGCGCTGCTGCAGGCGGTGCTGCAGGAGGTGCCGGTCGCGGCGGTGCTGGACGAGGCGCTGGTCAAGGTAATGCTCAAGCAACACCTCAGAACCCCCCTCAAGGATTTCCAAACACACAGTTCCCAGGCCAATTCCCCGGCCAATTTCCTCAATTCCCTGGAAGCGCACCCCCTGGACAGGCCACAACACAACCCCAGACCGGAAACACACAGGGAACTCCCAATGCTAACAACTCCGGCCAGGACGGGGACGCCGCCAGTAATTCGGAGAACGCGACGGCGACTCCTTCGGTAGACCCGGCGGCAGCGACGCCAACGCCCACCCAGGGCGGAGGTGCCTCCAACAATGGCAAGGCCAACAGCAATGGATCCGGACAGAACGGCAACGGTAACACTTCTTCTGGATCTGGCAAGGGAGGCGCGACGTCGAACGCTATCGGCGGAATCGCGGCCCCGGCGGTCTCGGACTCTGGCGATAGCAGCCGACCATTCTCCGTCAATGGCAACTCGTTCGTTTCCAAGGCCAATGCGGCGCAGCGTGCTTGCGATGTTCAACGGAATGCCTGTTTCAATGCTTTCAACGGTGGAAAGTTGAACGGGGTCACCACGGCCGACTGTGATGCCCAGGTTCAGACCTGCATCCAGGAGCTCTCATAATCGGAATGCCTTTCGACGACAAGGACGACAAACAACCGAGGGATTATTGGGATATGCACGCGCGCGCTGATACGGACAACACGGGCCTTTTACATCACATACAACGACAAGTCTCCATGCTTTTGGGTTCACCCGGGTCGCCAAAAAGTGTTCTGGTGTTTTTCTGTTTTTAATTTCTTGGGGTTGTTATATTCTACACGAACTGGCAGGAGGTTATTAGATGAGCAGGTTGGCGTGGATGGTTTTTTCTTTTGTTTGATGAAAACCAGCGCTCCCCGTGCTTCGATACCACACACTCACACATCATCAACGACAACACTGGCAAACTCCTCCCCCTCTATATTATTGTTCTAATGTCCCCCTCTCCCCGACAACCCTCACACACATCTCATCACCTCATCACCATGACACAAAATCTTACGATCCGACCTTTCTGTACATTTAGAGGGAGTTGTTTTTCCGTTGACAGGATACGCAGCATGGCTTGGAAAGAAATGGAAGACACAATTCCAGTAGAGAGTGCACACAGTTTTTTTTTGGATTACTTTTGCTTGGTTCTTTGGTTCTTACTGATTTGACATGTCGTGATATTTTGTCTAGGAGTTCCGCGATCCACTAACAGATGACACGTCACGATGTCACCCCATCTTAGTGAAAGTCGGGGTGGCAGGAGGTATACCGGCAACACTGCGCCGAACGTCCTTTCTCTCTGATGTTGATGAACCTGCACAGTGAAAGCTGCGGTGCCGAGCTGCGGTCCGAGCTGCGGCGTCTGATCTGCGTGTCGCGATGATGGGGGGGCACATGTCTCGGCCGGGGGGCCGTGTTATGCGCTGGGGTTGGTGTCTAGGGTGCCTGGTCTGCTTGTTTTGGGGGGATTTTTTAGTAGGCCTGATGGGAGGGATTTGTACATGACTAAGCTGGACTCTCCAGCGTCGCGTGCCATTGAGTGGGATCAGTGTGTGTGGGTTGGAGACTGGCGTTCGACTTGGCAGGTCTGAGAGGGGGTATGGCCCATGGGAGAGGGGAGGAAAATAGGGTAAAGAAGAGTTGAGACGTGTTTCACGTTGTCCATTCTTCTCTTCTGGTAGTGCCGGAGTTGGGACGGATGGAAGGGATCTTGCGACAGAGGGGGCTTGCGGTACCGTAGAACAGCCTTAACAGACAGACTTATATTTACGAATACAGGGCTTGAGGCTTAAGGTCCGGGCTTGTGATGTCACGAGTCGAGGCTAGAATCTGGGTACCTATGGTTTGTGGATTGGGGCATGTGTCATGGGTTGGGATGGCACTTTTTGTGTGGTGCCAGGAGGGTTCTGGGGAAGGGGGTGTTTGAGGTCTCGTGGGAGGGGGCAATGGGCTTTAGCAGCTAAGGTAAGGTACGGATTAGTGGAGGTATATTAATTAGGAGATTTCTTTTTAACGTTTCGGAAGGGGGGCGGGCGAGAAGAGAGATTGATTGATGTTTATTTCTGCCTTCGGGGGAGCTTAATCTTGAGGTCTTTTCTTTGTTTTCGGCGATTGGGATTTCTCATACACACACGCACACACACACATACGCGCGCGCAAGGTGGTCTTGATTGAGCTTGCGTCGGGAGGTTTATTCTCATGACTCTTCTACTTGAACTTTGAGAGTTGTACCTGACTTGAGGCGTAACTTCGCCTTTTGTTTTTGGCTTTTTTTGTTCTTCCTTATTCCCGTCCGTTGCTGCGAGG